GCAATACCTTGGATTTCTGCTAAATCACTGTGCCTTCTCGAGAAAAGCCAGTAGATACCGGCTGCAAGAGAGTATAACGAACCACAAGTCGTAACAAAACATGCACTTAGTTCGAGTGTTCGTAGGAATCGCAAAATCTGTTGGTCACAATATGCATCGGAGATGCAAGATGTAGTCACTATGGGTAATTCAACCAAGCTGTTCTTTCTTATTCGAGTCACTAGTAGAAAGCTATTAGGTGTGAGTGAAATAATCTGTGAAGCTGACGGTTCAGCAATCCACTAACTACAGTGGCTACTAAAACGTTCGGTACAGAATTATCGAATACAGTTTAGCCTGCCCTCAATATCAGCCCATTACATAGGCCTTTTGGCACACGGTCCTTTTTGACTTATCCACCTATCCAGGTGGATATCCAAGAGGGAGTCTAAGCCTCAAGATATCACCAATCTCCGGGCTCCGTGACTTTACCCACGAGCTATTTGAATGGGCTGGAAGGCAGCTAGTTAGATAAGTTCATGATTTGTTTTAGGAGGTTTGGGCTTCCGAACAAGTCCCGCCTTGCGGGAAATCGATTACCTTCCTCATTTTTAAAAAAGGTCGGCACAGTGGCTACACTAACCATGTTGATAAAAGTCTTTTTCCGAAAGCACCGGAGCGGCATGAGTTTTCACAATTCGCAGATTGAACCGAACGCGTGAAGAGGGTACTCAAAAACAGCAAGCTGTGTTTTACCCCTGGTCACGCATGTTTCAACCAAATTTTCATCATCCGAAAGCCTCTAGACAACAGTCACATATTTCAGAAACCAACAGTCATCGTAATCACACACTTGATTCGTGTGACTTTCGAAACTGTTGAAAGGAATGCACTATGGAATTTCTTGTTGAGAAATGGAGTACCTAAGAACAGTATGTCAACCCTTAGAGAATTATGTCATCACGTCTCAGGTCGAACTAGGTCCTACTGTCAGATTTCACCCCCAATGTCGTCTCCAGTGTAGTAAAACAAGGCTGTCCTATATCCACATTTCTCTTCAACTTTGCCATAGAAAATGTTCTACGGAAGTCCCTGTTTCGTTTACTGAATAATTGAGCTGAACTTTTCAATAGAGAACAAAGCTTTGATTTGTGACATGCAGATGATATGGGTTTGTGCAGTGATAATTCACTGGCAGCTCAACACATTCTGAACCGCATTGTGATTGAAGTATCCACATATGATATGCACTTTGCGCCTTTTAAGGGCTAAGTACCTTTTCATAATTGATAGGAGTCTTTGCCTGCACTCACTGTGGTGACCAGTCAGAGTTAGGTGATTGCTTTGACTACCTCGGGAGCTCGATTACGAATGGAGGTGGTACTGGGGAGGAGATCAGTTCACAAAAAGCGAGAGCTGGAGCAGCTTTAGCAAACCTGCATTGACTGTGGCTTAGACGTGACATCCGGCTCTCCCTCAAGCGACGAGTGTGCATTGCCACGGACCTAGTATTCTATACGATTGTGAGACCTGACCTTTTTTCTCTGATTATGTTCGGCGTCATTCTGTAATTAACAACCAGTGTCTCCGAAGCATTGCTTGCTTCTGGTGGTCACACCGACTGAGTAATGTCAAGGTGCGCCGTGGTATGTCGGGTATGAACAGCCAACTTCAGCATGGATGTCAGTTGTGCAAATACCGTAAAATCTGTTTGTTGAATTCTCATGCCCCATTGTCACGAAGATATCACTCGGGCAAAAAGAAAACAAAATATCTCTCACAATGTACCGTGAAAAATAAAAATGTCACAACACATCATATCTTTTAAAAACCAACTCTGACCCTGTGTTTCACTTTCCTCTTCCCCATTGAATGTTTATTTATATGTATATATGTAATTAAATATACCGAGCCGATCTTGTTCTACTCCTTTAGATCAAGTAACCAAGCTTCACAGATCGTTCAGGACGGAAAGCCTTCGTTACACTTAGGTCCTTATAGATAAGTCATTCATCACGACAGTCGATAGCCGTGCCGGAAACGGGTTGCTCGAATCCAGTAATGGAAGGGTGCTATATCACGTAGTGTATATTTTCAACAAACCAGCCCAAAATCAGGTCCCCATCGGGGCTCAGTGGATGTGCACTGCTGATGATTCCTGACAAGAATGAAAAAGATGAACTCAGTGCTTTCGTGGGTTTCAATAATTCAAACGCTCACGTTGCTTGGCGAATCATATCATCCTAGAATATGTCTGGTTGCTTGGTTCGAAGGACCAGTGAGAGCATTCCAAAACTCTGCACCATGGAGTACATCCAGATATGGGACATTATCGACCACTTCCTGCAACCTGTCGCGGTCTCTTCCGATCTTAAAGTTGGGGCGTAGATTGCAACAACTGGTATGTTCAGAGGCGAGAAACGAAAACAAGCTACAGCAATTTGAGGGGATATCGGGTTAGACGAAAGCAACTCGTTGATAGCCCTGCGACTAACTGCTATCGTGACCCCGTGAAAACCCGAGATTTCAGTAGGTCCACTGTGGTAGAAATGATAGTAGTCGTTTATTTGGGGAACCTGATTACTCCGTGTGCCAAATGTAGACAGACGAATTTCGAAGAGACATGTGATATCTACTTGGTGGTTGCGTAACGTGCTCATCTTGAATGCCTGACTACAGATGTTAGCTAGTATATTTAACATCTCAGCTGATAGGGTAAATCGAAGCGTTTCATTTCTCGGGACATAATAGCATGACCGTCATATACCGAAAAGGAGAAATCCACGACGAGTTCTTCCAGATTCAGTGCTTTATTCCACGGTTGTGAGACCTGACCATTTCACTCTGAGCATACTCGGCATCGTTTTGTTTTCGACAATCAATGTTTCTGAAGCACTGTTTGCTTCTGGCTGAGTAATGTCAAGGTGAGCCGTGGTATGCTGGGCATGAACAGCCAACTTCAGCATGGATGTCAGTTGTGCTAATACCTTTAAATTTGTTTGTTGAATTCTCATGCCCCAATATCACGAATATATCACTCAGGCAAAAAGAAAACAAAATATCGGAAACTTGGTAATATCTTTCAAAGCCAGAGACGGAATGGTGCTAATAGCAAGTAGTGTATATATTCAACAAATCATTGAGGGCCAGCCCAGATGTTCGACTCACAATCGTTCACCACGAGTTTAAATCTTGGTCGGGGCTCAGTGGACATTACCATCTAGGTCTCTATAAGCTTTATGTTTGTCCTCTTGAACTACGGCGCATTAGGAGAGAGCTGTCTTTAGTGCTTGAACATTTTGTCACGCGTTCGAACATGGAATCCCTCCTTTGTCATGATAGGACACTATGCGGAATTTTCACGGCAATACTTCTTTCTTTGCAGAATAGCCTCCTCGTGGAACGACCTACCACAGGAGATGGCCCACTTCATTTGTAAGGACTCCTCAAAGCTAAGCCACATTCATAATCACAGGTAAAATCAGATTCACGATAAACCAAATTATTTTTTCTCCAATTGCCTCTCAACAGGTCACCATTATTTCATGGCATCACACAATGCAACACAGAAATTCTGTCCTTTTTCCTGTCTATCCTAAACTCCTTTCGGTATGTACCGTTATTGTTCTCAAAAGAATAGTGAGATATAGGTGAAAAAATTATTTTTCTGTTTATTAGTAAAAATGTAATAAGTGATATTTTTCAGTGCTTGTGGGTACATTTTTTCATTGTAAGCTTCAGGCAGGTTTTTAATTCAGCCTAATCAGGCGACTCATTGAAGGACAGTTGATCATTCAGTGTTTCTGAGTGAGTCCAGGTGCCTCTCCTTGTTGTCCAGTGATCTCTTTTCCAGCTCTTCGACAGTAAAACCAAAAAGATACTTTTAAGATCCAGGAACACTTGGGCTCCAAACTCAGACCATCGTACTACGTCAGGACATCAGGCCGTATTCTAGACAGATCTATTCCATTTTGACTTCAAGTGAACACCCCAATATCACCATTGCGCAAACACAGGGGATCAACTTGGTGGTTAATTGCACATCGTATTATGGCAACTATCTTACTCACCAAATGTGGCATTGTCTTGGCCTGTGGTTGTCCTTTCAGTAAGACTGAGAAAGACGAGTGTCTATATACTTCTCTCAAAAACGTTATCACCCCTGCCTCACCATCATCAACCTTACTCCAGTCATCCAGCTTCTAACTAGAGCTATCCAGAACAGTTGAGTACTGGTTGGAGACGATGTATTCTAAATCTGTGCAACATAGTCAATCACCAATTGCATTCCAACTCATTCTAATAATCTCTCATGTGAACCAGTGAACATTGATGCAACAGGGACAATAATTCGAGCGATCACTGGAGAAGACAGTCATAACAACATTCCATGGCTTTTCCTATTAGGAGTTCAAGGTGGCATTGAACGGGAACGAAATAGACCTTTTTTAGAGCAAAAGTTTGTTCAAGTTAAGGGTACGGTATATTTCCATTTTGTTGTTGTAGCACCGACGTTAAACCCTACGAAAATCCGAAACCAAAGATCACATGCCAACTGAGTCCACGTGGCATCACATGTTCGACAATTCAGATGGAGGCGAAACGGCACAAGCACACCACTGGAGCTGAGAATACCGTGCAAGCACACTCCGTGGTAACCCGTTATTGAACTGGCTACTCTGGGGTGCACACCCCGGTTGTGTCACAGGCTGACACGGGCTTTTAATTTCGATGTTTCTGTGAAACGCAATCTGGTGGCAAAGTAGTGTTCAAATTCTTACTCAAGCCCTCTATGTAATATTCTCTTGTTCACGAAATAGCTTCAGATTTCGTGCATTCTTGTTCTACTCACGTGGCCAATCTTCTAATTGATCGCAACAATCTAATGAGGAGTTAATTACGGCTTCTTGGTACTTAACTCCACTTTTGGGAGGACGAAATGCACAATGGAAAACGTTTCTTAGCATAGTCATGATAAGTCAACTGCTTCCTTGTGTAGTCATCGATAAAATGGTGATATTTTACGAAATACGTTCTGATAAAACCAGTGGATATTGATACCCAATGAAGGGATAGTTGCCTTTGGGTGATGCAAAACGACATAAAACGTGCCTCATAAATCTATAGTTTTTGTTACGCTCAACAGAATCATACTTTGCTCCAAAGCTTTCAATCAGGAACACTCGGTTTTTCACTGCTCTTGTTGGTGGGATCAGCTTTTTCTGTTGCAGACTGTTCTGGAGATAATCACTTCCCCTCATCATGCTTGTGGCTGTCGGCCTGTTGGTATGATGAACCACACAGGTGTCACATTCCACTGTCAGTGGGCAAACTGCAACAAGACGGAAATGTATAAGAGGAACAACATCCCAAAGAATTTCGATCGTTCGATACAACTGTCTGTATTACGAAAATATATCCGATTTATTAAAAGTAATCACACTGCTAACTGACGGTCTCTTTGTCACATGAATTTGCGTTTCAGGAAAAATCAGAACAAATAACAATTGTTTTTTCTTATTCGTTGAAATACAATAGATACCTTCAGGAGCTAGTCGGAGTCTCCTCTCTGGACACATTCATGGATTTGAGATTTCCCACCGTTTGCCAGAAGTTCAACTGCAAATGGTTCTGGTACTTTGTGACAGATATTTGCACTATGGAATCTCACAACCGTTGAGACAGGTTGCAGTGAGGGTTACACCAATGTGATGGTGTCAGTACCTCAGAGGTCGGATGACAAAGCGCTTCTAACTAAAAACACATGCATAGAGAACAACTCGATCAATAAGCTTTTGAGAAGCCTTTCTGAGTAAGAGGAAATTGACACAAATCACTTGCTCTCCGAAGTCTTCACAAGACCTTAGCCGTCCTACATTTGAATTCCAAGACCAAGGAGCATAGGGAGCCAGCAGTTGTTTTCCATTTTTCTGACCTGTATCTTACTGATCATCATATAGGTGAATACAAATTAGCTAACTAGACATTGTCTGGGTTATGAGTGGATGGAGTTTAACCACGGGATAATTCAAACAAATCCCCCTCTATTTCAGCGTATGTTTCGCTAATGTAAAGTTTTCCTGTCTCATGTGTCTCAGTTTGCTTGCCAAATTCGTCGGATTGATCTCGGGCACTCCCATTAATATTACCACATGTCAATATTTGTTACAAAACATTTATAACTTGCGATACTGAACAATAATTCGTCCGGCGAGAATGGTTGTGACTGCGTCTGTTAATAAATGGTTCATCCACGTAACAGGTTCAGCTGCACGAAGCGTGGCCAATTCCCATTGCAATAAAATTGTGACTGAATAACTCCATTTCCAGAAATTTTGCTCGATTTGTGGTTGCAAAATAACAACCAGTAAGCAAAAAAGAATATCAGAGTGTATATTTAGAATATACTTTATGCTGTTTTGTACCAACTTCCTGATGGTCATCATCGCTCTGTCCGTTACCACTATCTACTGGTTTTGATTTCACCTGAGCGAATACCACAGAGTTTTCGTGGCCTATTCAGGATTGCACAAGTGAATATTTCACTTCACTTGACTTGAAATTACTGGACTGCGGTAAGAAACTCATGAAGCATAAACATTGTCCTCTATAAAGGTAGATTTAGATCTGTACAAAAAGGCATAATTGACCTTCATAATTGGTTTCTTACAATCAGTTGGACGATTTGCCAAGTGGAACAGAAATGCACCAAAGTCAGAAACCATTCCGTGAATAACAAAATGGCACATGGTAGGCTTTAGGAAGACTTGTGTAGGCAATTTTATCTGCAGGTAGTCTTTCGCAGACTCCTTCAAGATAGAACTTTGTAACATCCCAATATGACGACGCGGTTAAGGTCCGGGTACAATACCCAGAGTAACATCCAGAAAAATAAAAGCTATCATCAAAACATAAAAACGGTGTTAGCTTGCATTCCAGCGGTCCAGCCCACTTGGAGGCAGTTTTATCCAGTCGGAAGATGCAATCAGGTGATTTGCATGCCTTCCATTAACTTGTTGCATTCGCTTCCTGTCACGTAGCCGCGTTCACTGACACTCCACAGTTATCCATAACTGTGGTATAAGCAAACAGATACTTATTCAGTAAGTAATAGGAATACTGCACCACAATTTGTAAATGAACAACTCCTCAATCTAAGATTTGAACTCGGTGCATGTAATTTTGAGTTGCGCGCGGTAATGCGAGGTCATCCGGGGTGACTTTAGAATGCATGGGGAACAGTTCATCTTACTTACCCCAGACACGGGAATTCATCAGTTTTCGTGTAGTTCGTGTAAGTACACCCAAGTGCTGGTGGGGCTGTCCAAACTACTTTTCGTCAGCTGAAAACAAAACTGGCATGTTAGAAGTAATTGAGATTTACTATCAAAGTGTTGGATTAAAACTGATCGCAGTGTGGCACAAATTCACAACAGTTCCTTTTTAATTGCCCCCCCCCATGTATGTGATGAATTCCAGACACTGATGATAATATGTCGCACTTCAGTTAAGTCCACTATCAAACTGTGACCCATTGTGGGCAAGCAAATCTGTGTATTTTTGAAATTTTTCTGCGAGAAGGAAAAGGAAGAATAAATGATGCCTCTCCGACCAAAATGTGGTCCTTTACACCAAAGTGAATTAGTAATGACTACTCACACCTCTAGGAGTACAGAGGAAAGTAGGACGCAACTGGGTTGACAGCGACAGAGAGCTGGGGAACAAGGGAGTTGACCGGTAGTGCATCAACACTGGATCACTCGAAGAGAGTGCCCTGGGACTGATGATATAGCTTGTCTAGGCATGAAAATTTTGTTCTTGTCAATCTTCGAGTCCTTCCCAAACTTGATAACATCACTCCTGTAAATATTCATACATTTGAGAAGAAATTGATTTGAGAATACCATCCGTGCAAGGAAGATAAGATAAGATAACATGTATAAACAAGATGGAAGTGGTGGCAGAATGTCTATTCAGTGAAGAAAATTCAAACAGTTTTTCTTGCTGAGTAGCAAATATGATCCAGGTGCAGTGCAACTGTTTGATCTTTCACTTGAGGATCAAAATCATAATCCGAATCACTATCACGATCATCATCAAGATCATCGTCATCAACATCATCATCATCCGAATCATCCAAATCATCATCATCATTATTACCGTCATTACCACTATCATTATCATCAGTTGAATCGTCAACCTCATTCTCATCCGAATCGTTATTATTATTATTATTATCAGCCAGATCACCACCGTTATCATCATCATTGAAATCATCAACACGGACATCATCTAATTCGTTATAGTCATCACCACTAACACTAACAACGAGCAAAGTGTTTCGACATTTCAAATTTATCTGACAATATCAGTATGATTACTAGAGCAGACTCAAACAGTTCCCGACGTTGAAACGAATCAGATTTCGACTGCCGCACACACGCGCCAGTCTTTCTTCGTGATTTGTTCGACTCAAATTACCAGTCATAAACCGAATACTGCACAATACATCCCGAAATGTGATGATGATAGTAAGTGAGAACGAACAACTTGAGTGCAGTGACCACATGTTTGAATTTGTACATATTTGTTTGTTGCATATTCGTAGTTTACGCGCTCTTCGATCCACATATCGAATGCTCCATGAATATGAAGATTGATCACTTTGGTACATCGAACTTGAAGATAAAGAGTTTGGCAAAAATTGAAATAAACACTCACAACAATCTAATTTGTACATCAGGAATGTGAGTGGATGATCCGCTTAGAAGGGTTCTTTGAGAAAAAATAACTGTGATTTGCAGATAGTCTTGTACAAGTTAGTCGAAGATAACCTTGAGAATGAGGAAACTGTCGTCGCTCTTGGCATTTTTGATATAATTACCATCTTCAGTTGGGTGGAGAAAGTTTCTCTGAAACACATGACCAATTTCGTGGTTGCTGCCGTTCATCAGGTATGCGCATCTGGTATTCCTATCTATTCATCTGTATGTAGTACTTGTATGATGAGTGAATACTCAGTTATCTCAGTCCATGTCGACTCACAACGGTGCGATCCAGAAAAATTCAGATAAAAATTCAAGCACCCTATGCAACTGCGATTACTTACTTCTAGAAATCACTTCGAACTGCAAAGTTCTAACCGACATTTGGCTATTTTGTTGTTTACTGATCTTCGTTTGTGTCGTGACCAAATGTGCTACTGTTTACTCAGTGCTGAACGTCTATAGCTACGTCCAAATAAAATGTCTGAAACACATATATCGGCCATAAAGTCTTGGAATTTTGCATGGTTTTCGCCTATGGTCGACCGGTCAGCTGACAGTTCGATAATTTGCTCTGAATTCGTTGTACCACTTCAAAATGCGACCGTTTTTTCACCGTTCTCTGATGGTGTCACGGAGTTCGCTTTACTTTGGACGAGAACAAAGTGAAAAAGCTCAGTTGATTGGGTTTTCTTCTTTCCGCTAGAAACTTCAGCTGCCTGCGAAATTTTTTCGCAATCCTTTTGCACTTGCATTTTAGAAACCCTGTCATCAGAATGAATTTTCTCCAGTCGTGGGGAAAATGAGAACAATTGGGGGTTTTGTTGAATCCGGAGGCTTTCAACTAGACATAGCTACAAATCTATCCACAGATCACACTCACACGCACTTACTTTATTTTGTGTGTGCACTAGTGAAAGGTGATGGGATTGGTGCAGTTATCCAAGCTGGTTGGAGGTGGGGTAGTGAGACGGACCTCCGTACCTGATCTTGCAGTACTACGTACATCAGAAGCTGATAACGGTGTCGTCGACAAGTGCATACTTCTCACAAAAAATTAGAAACTTAGGCTATTTAGCAGTCATGTTTAATCCTGTTCGAGATTCTGAGGAACGCGAGCGAGTCTGGTCGCGCCTTTATTTTGTTTTTCATATAAGATATTTCTTGGGTACGAACTGCATTGAATGAAGTTCTTCGCTCTTCATAGTCTATTTGTGTTGCATTGTGCGTTTCGGTTCTGAAAAATACTTTACTGGAAAATCAGCGGCAGTTTGTAATAAGATCAAACAAACAATAACTCACAAACCACACAACTCCTAAACAAATCAACTTACTGACAAAACAATCAGTTAACTACTGTAGCATATTTAGAAAAACCATTTTCGGTGGACACTCCTCATATAGTGGCCGGATTGTCCACAAACTGAGGTATACAATTATTGGCAGTTCACCTTTATTATTCACTGTTATTATTCCATTCAGGTAGACATCTTTATTCGGATCAGCGATTAAGTGCTTGGAGCCGGATTTGTAAGCAAATGGTAAGAATCAATGAGGCAGACAATTTTCCAATGGGATAAAACATTTGAAACTTAGAAGTCTTTTTCAAAACATGGCCTTATTCATCCCATTTGATGGTTTTTCAGCGCTTTGTTCGTCACTTCCTTATTCGTTGGATAAACCTGTTTTACATTCAGATAATTTTAAGGAATGAAATAAGAACTTTGTTCAAACAGCGTTGACTAATAAAGATAGCAAAATGAGTCGGGACAAAGCGTTGCTGAATTTATCGGACATCAGTAAGAGGTTGCTGTGGTAGTTTTGGAGACTGGAAAGTAAAGATAAACGATGGTAGGTTGTCCGGGAATGGAAAATGTTGGATTTGTACTTGGCTGATGGAGGAAAACACATCCAGATAAATACATGTGCAGAGGATAATTCGAGTCCGATGAGTGTTTCGGGCAAACTTCTCGCATGCAAAAAGTGTTTAGGAATGTTTTTTATGACACTGTTAGAAGGACAACAAAGAATGTAAATGAGCTTGTCTATCTCCCTTCTGGGTGTTTGGGTGAGGCAAGCTGATCTCCGGTGGTCAGCGATGGTGCTTCCTTCGATGCATTTGTCAGAAAAAAGCTCAGTCAAGCAGACCCCACGATGCGAAAATGCCACTGGAAAAGCGGGTCTAAGTTATTCTTTTTTTCAACAGTTCGTCTTCATGTCATGACAATACATTGTCAACTGTCGTACTGTGTTTTCCCCCTTCTGATTACTGTTAACGGGCGCGTGTGTTAGGGGCTGCAAGCAGAGCCCGATCACTCAGGTCGTCCGTAGAAAAAGAGATCGTCGAATAGAAACTCAAGGGATCACAGATCCGTTGATCCGGCTTCGCATTAAGATCAGTCGTACATTATCAAAAGTTTGTCTTTCTATACGCTTACTTCAATTTGTCTTATTGATCTTTATTGCCAAATTACGCATGCGACCCCGCACTCCTTCCTGTAGTTCTCAGTATATTCCAACTAGCGAAGTGAATATTTTGCATATCAATTTCTTTAGTTTCTCCGGAACAGAGTGATTCTGAAATATGACTGTCGACCCATTATGAGCTGATAAATCCAAAAGTTTGTACCTGCATGTCTTCTGATAGACCCTATTTCGTGTCAGTTCAGGTAGTCACGTATACAGTCAGACAGCCACACACACACACCGTTACTGACTGCCTACTGACTTATGCTTGTAAGCCAACAAGATAAGTTACATGTACGCACCTGGCATCTGACCGCACCATTCATCCAGTCACATTTCTCTAGAAACCGGACAGTCACACATGGCCGTGTCGACTGCATGTGCGGCTTGCGCTTGCTCAGTTTTCCGTACTTGTTTGAGCGTGCGCCAAAGAACTGTTTTTCGCATTACTAACAATGTCTGAACACAATACCCTAGGTGATCAGTGAAAACAGCAGCCCTTATGATCACCCAACGAGCCTTTTACCGATATCGGGTAGTGTCGAATGATATCATACTCTATCATCTCTGCAGTCGGAGGTTCCAGTCTTGATGCTTTCGATGAAGCCGGTCGAGGGCAGCAACACACTACCTAATGGGGTTTGTTAACACACCTTCGTGGCCCTTCGAAATATTCCTCATGCAGTTCTATACTGCTCCAAGTCTGCGGGTCAGGTTGCTGGTTCTCCATAATGGGACAGTTGTCGTTTGGGACTATGAGCCACGGCTGTTCCGCAACACTCATGCCCATGTTTATAACAAAATATGGCCAATAAGTATGTCGCGTAATAATGTGTCACGAGGTCGATTGGGTGTCCACGAGCGTTTGGAAATTATCTGTTTCAAATACTAGGCATCGAAAAGAAAACTTCCTTATCACGACCGGATTCCAACAACCAACATTCATTGGAACATGTATAATCGGACAACTCGGAAAAATTGCCTTATCACTTCCAATTCACTTGTGTTGACATAAACAAATGCCGTCATTCTATTAGTAATTAA